TTGAATAGCTTCAATTTTATCGTTTGAGTGGGAATTATCGTTTGGGTGAGGCAGACCAACACGCCGAACAGGCGGGTGGGGCTGCTGACCTAAGAGACGGATATGTTGGCAGGGGATTCCGGCCGGCGGCCCTTTTAGGCCCGGCACGTAGGATCTTCCGGCCGCTAAGCGGTCCCACAACAGGATTGTTGTTTAGGCCTAGATAGCTTATAGAGCCAATAATCGAATCAATGATTATGATGAGCTTTGAATTAGTCCACTAAGATTATATACCGCGCCTGCGGTTGTCAAGCCGTTCGGGGCTTGACATAGTGGTCTTTTTAGCTAGTTGGTAGGGCGATCACCCCAGGGATCGATCTATTACAGTTGAATTTCCAATAAGGGGAAAAATCTAGAACGGAGGCCAAGTTGAATTCTCCTTCTTTCTCCGCAGAAATTAGAGGACACGGTTGTTGATACAGTGATTCTAGTATTTGTCTAACAATCATGTACGTACAGTACAATCCACCCGGCAACTGCACCGGATAGAGAGAGAGAAGAAAAAAAAAAAAAGGTTAAACCTCAAACGGGTATACGCTCAAACGACAATACATTAAAAACCGTTCGCTTTTGGAAAACGTCGCTCGTTGCATGCATGAAGATAGTTGAGGTCCAGGTTGGGGGCAATAAGAAGACACCCCTCGCGTCGGAGTTGTATAAAGTGGCCCTTAAAATCAGATTGTCTAGATTAATTATAACTGTGAGGACCCGGAGGTCAGAACTACTGGCAGCGATGTCATTTATTCATTTACACCGCGTGCCTGAGGTGAAGGCGGCCACAGGGGGCAATATGTAGTTATTTGGCCTCGCTCTAACCACCCTTATCCTGTTCCTTTCTTCCTCATGCTTAGTATTCTCAGTTCCAGGCACCGAATGGAGTACTTATCCCCTTCAGAAGCTCCTTTTTCGTAGGCCATGACAATAACCAGCTGTTACATTATTTAGAAGAAAGAGAGTAGAGAAAGAGAGATACTAGGAAAATAGTTTAATAGATTTGAGAGTGTTGGCTAGAAGTGCTGAGGACATCTACTATCCAGGGTAGAAGTTAGGCTGACCGTTGGGACGGGATGGGATGGAAATGGGATGTCCCGTGTCCCGTCCCATCCCGTTTCCCATCCCATCCGGTTCAACCCTGAAAACGGGATTCGCATTTATTTCTTGGCATTATTTTGGGATTTTCCCGTCCCAACGGTCAGCCTAGGTAGAAGACTTGTCAACTAGGTAAGGATACGTAGGCTAAAGCAAGTGGGAATATCAAAGACAGGCAGTAGATACTATTGAGACAGGAGACTGATTCTTGACCTCCTATACTACTAACGATTCGCTAACTTATAGCTGAAGGCTTTTATGCCTAAGGCTTCAGAATCCCCATTGAGATCCTGACCATTGGGTGGTCGGATAGTCAGTCTTCATCGGTGTCATTTATATTCCGGCAGCGTAGCATGAGATTATATGCTAGGCAATTCTCCAAACGCAATCAAACTGACTGGGCCATTCAGGGCGTTCGTCATGTCGCACGATGTTGAACGGGTCGATGGGTTGCATCCAGACAAGCCAAGAGCAAGTGCGGTGGCTTGCATGGGGTGGTATCTTGTCCTCCGAAGAAAAGTCCAGGGGCCATCGGAGGCCGATTTGTCCATGCACCTGCGTCAGGTTATATTGTACGGTTATCGGGCCGAATCACTATTCGATCTGTGACACTGTCTATCTCTATCTAATCTGACTGGGAAATATACTTTAAATAGTTATCGTGTGTAGTAGTAAAATTAATTAACTTAATCCTTGACTTTATAACGCTTTCATAAAAGTAATGGGATATATATAGATCAGTAAACTTTAGTCTATACACACTTTAGAGCCCTGCTGTAGTCATGTGACGTACAATATCAATATGGAACAGGAAACTGCTCTGGATCACCCACTGAGCTTGCTGGTGGTATCCGGGAGCGACCGGAGCAGCCGGTGCGTGCTCCGTGAGCAATCAGTGAGTGGCCCGGAACGCTCACAGAGCACTCTCGAGCACTCATGTGCTGCCCTCATAAAGCGGCGGCACCCGTATCAGGTAACCGGGCGGAACTTGCAGAAAAACAGTTCAGTTATACACTACTACATGAGATTCGCTCAATGTATGCAACGTCCGACGTCATCGGAACCTAGCCTCACATCCAGCAAGCCCTAATTACATACATCACATCCCTAACCACCTTTTCAGTACTCATAAATTCTCCGAAAATTATTCATCCCATTCCCCACTTCCTGCCGGCCCAACGGCGTCATATCCAACAAATGATACGTCCCAAGCAGGATCTCCATGCCCCGATCCGTAGTCGAATACGTATGGAACACCTCCCCATCATCCCCCTTCAAAAACACACACAACCCAAAATACCCATTCCCAGGCTTCCAAGTGATAACCTCGCCACCCTTCTCCGCCTCTACCCACGCCCGATGCGTCTTCTCCGAGCTATAAAACGGAAACCCCCACCCAGTAAGCCTCTTATACTCCTCAATCTTCTCCACCGGCGCCCTCGCAACCGCCACAAAACTCGTATCCCGACTCTCCAGATGCCGCAAATCAGGGATATGATCCATGCAAAACGAACACCCCACACAGCCCTTCTCGTCCTCCGGCCCCAGCATGAAATGGTACATGATTAGTTGCTTCCGGCCAGCGAACAGCTCCGGGAGAGTTTTCTCGCCGTCAACTGTGTCGAACTTGAAGCGCGAGGCATCCGGGACTGGAACTATGGGGAGGGAGCGTCGCGCTGCGGAGAGCGCTTGGAGTTGGTGAGTTGCAGCTTTTTCGAGGGCGAGGTGGGTGTTGTGGGCTTTTTGGAATTCGGTGGGGGAGACTATCTGTTTTTTTTTTTTTTTTTTTTTTCTTGTTAATTTTTCTCGGAGATACTGAGGTGGGGGTCAATAGTGGGGTTTTTATGTTGTGTTTTTCTTAGGGATTTTGCTATAGGTGTAGTTGTTAGAGGTTGCTTACATTTTGGTTTGGTGGACTCATGATGGGTATTGAATTCTGTCTGTTTGGATTGGGTAGAGCGATAGATGTACAGATAGATAATATTTGGTACAAAATATGATTCTCACTTTTAAACAGGATTAGTTACTAGATTGATTGTTATGAAGCTATGAAGTTCGAAAAGTAGAAATGCGGGGTTTGGCTCGTATAAATTCACTTGAAAGCTTCTTTCCAATTATGTAATTTGTCGGTCTGTTTCCGTGGTTTTGAGTAAATTTTGTTCTGGGCTTTGGGTCTAGAATGTACTTTTATAGATACTTACGTTTAATACATCTATAGATCCATGGAACTAATGGTTGTAGGGTTGTGCGGATCATTGGGTGATCTTTACCTACGGATAACCCAGAATATATATCCGTGGCACAACACAAGTATTTTGAGACCTTAGGACTAAGTCACGTTATGTTCACACAGATAAATATATCTTTCCTAGCTAAGAAAATCGATCTAGACTCCCCCATGATCTACACGATGCACAACAAGTAATAAACAACCAATATCCGTTAAAAACAAACAACAAACCCAACCTTCACTCAACCGAGTCAGCCCTCTCCAACCTCCCCTGTTTCGAATTCAGATACTCATTCCTAAACTAAGATCAGCACAATAGAGCTATCCATTAACACCCCTAATAATCGACAAACCTCTCATTCGCCCAATTCATCGCCGCATAGGCAATCAGAAAGGGCGGCACAACATATAGCACCTGGTGTCTGCATCTTCGGAACGTATTATATATGGCAGCGTGGAACGCCCCAGCAAAGGGTCTCTGTCGGTTTGGGGATAGGGAATAGGTGACTATGCGGATTGGGGTGGGGCGGACTATTCTTTGTTTCAGTTTGGGTTCGTGATGGGATATGCTTTTTCTTCTTATTTTAATTTTTTGTTTTCTTTTTCTTTTCTCTTTTTTTTTTCGGATTGATTGATCTACGGTGGATGGTTCTTGAGAGGGTGATGGTGTTAACGTACCGGAGTTTCCAGGCTCTCCCATCCACCTATCCAGATATTAGTCTTATTCGTAGGAATAGTGTGAGGGTATAAAGGAAGGATTAAATGAACTTACCATCCAGTCTTGGGGTCATTGTGGCCTACCATGCTGAGAGGATTCACTTCTCGGATGAGGGATGGTAAAGGGAACGTTTGAATAACTCAGTTGGGAGAGATTGAGGACTCATTCTTATACTATGTTTGTTTCGCAGGGATACTGGTATGCTCTGGTTAGGGCTTAGATGTCGGCATGTCGGACATTGACAGTGTATATTTTGGGAAGTTGTGCGAGTGTGATTGGATGGTTCGTATACTAGGTTTTTGAGTTTGATCCACTGAAGGATTCGGATCCCTGTTGTTCTATCGTGTAGATCCTCTTTTGGTAGACCTAAAACTGGGCAGTAAGGTTCGAATTAGCTTGAGTTGTACAGGTAGCATCTTGTTTATGGAATGATGTGTATAGGTTAGGTTAGGCGTATGGCCTGTGTACCTAGAAGGATGTTTTGTATTAATGCAACTTGAGAGTATTTCATCATCCTATAGTACTGATACAATGGTATAAATGAAATAATCAAACAGCCAGCGAAAAATCCCCAAAGAAATCCTGCCACGCAGTAGGAAAATAAAACAAATTCAGCCCCGGAAAGTCCCACTCCCGAACAAACTGCTCGGGCACAAAAGACTGCAAGTCCGCCTGAGCATCAAACGACTCCCAGAATGGCGCCGTAGCCACTGGATCACCACCCGCTCCTCTTTCCTGAAAGATTCGGCCGTATTTCTCAATACTTAGCCTAAGGATCTGCATGTAGATGCTTCCATTTCCCGTAGTTTCTCCGCTGGATCCTACGGACCGAGTTAGCTCATCAAGAAGTCTGTTTCCGTGGTCCAGAAGTTCTTGGTGCTCCTCCCTTCGTTCCGGGAGAAGCCGAGAGAGTTTCAAAAGCAGTAGGAAGCAGAACGCGCATTTAGCCCAGACAAAGTCCATGGCGTATTTCAGCTTGGCGAGGTAGAGGTCTGGCTCCGTGCTTATGATGCGGAGGTGTTTTCGGGCACTAGACTTGGCTAATAGGAGAATATTGCGTTCAACAGGAGACATGGCACTAGTTTTATGTGAATGAAAGGGCGGAATAATATTGTCACCAAATGGGAAAAATGGTACGTACGCCACATTCTCTACTCCCATTGATAGCAGGGCTTTGCAGTGGAGGATTAGCTCAGCCCAGCATTTTTGGACGCGTAGGGCTGCTAAGAGGAAGGGTCTCTCTTGCTCTGCTGCAATCGAGTTTTCTAAAGATTTCCGTCCGCATTAGTACAACCATATGATGTTATATACTGTTACGGTAAACTTACCAATAATGCGCAACCAATCACTAAATCATTCAGTAAGTGATATTGACAGGGAAGGTAATTGGTTCACTTACTCAAACCAGAGATCAAGATCTACCTTGGCCTCGTGTACAAATTCGGCAATATCCGGCCTATCTAGCGTCTCCTTCGTGTCTAGAGTATCGTTGAATTTTGCTGCCAAGGGGTGTAAGGACATCTCTTGTGTTCAGGTTGGAAATATGGGATATTGGAATTACCACGTATAACATTCAACTTTCATTTCATGGTCAGCCCGCATTTATTATTAAATGAAAATAGTGACCATACCTCAACTTGAGAAAACAGACGTAAGTCTAAGATTGTCGACGTATGATGACGGAGCAAAATGCGGCATCGATGTGCATTTCCCCTCATCCGAATACCAGGCGGCTTTCCGCCATCTACATGAAATCTGGAGACAGTCAGCCTGAGTAGGTCCCACACTAGAGTGTGAACATACATATGATCCAAAACAAGGAGGCCAAACCAGGTCCGGGATTTGCGCATCAAGGAACGGTCTTCTTCATCAGTTGCCATGTGAGATTCAGATATGTCTTCAATCCCTTTCATGGTCAGGCGCTGTATAAGTTCTTCGAATGCCTCGTTCAAGCTCAAGTCCAATGCCATCCGGGTCGCAAATGAAAGTAGGAGAGAACGTTCGGCAGAATAGCATGCTACAATAAGAAGCGCCTGTATGGATTCTAGGCAGTTGAGCGTTTTGTTTTGGATTACAACGTTGATCCATCTCTTGAGCTCTGCATGCAGCAAATCAGAAATCTGGGATCCTGATTCTAAAGTCCATCAGTTATAAAATCGGGATAATGTGTCATTAGCCACTTGATGAAGTTTGTCATACTTGTCTCAACGCGACTACCAATTGTACAGATGGCATTCAAAAGTATGCTACTGCGCGCACGCACAGACACAAAGTTGTCGAGTTCCGGGTCGAAAATTGGGATATACCTATCCTAAAATTGCCGGAAGGATAAGTCTCAAAGCCAATCGAGAGTAGAAACTAGGCATACGTACGCAACCTTGGAAAAAACTACGTTGGATCAGCAAAAGCTCACAAAAGATGCATAATGACTCGCAGCGCCTACGTTCTAAAGCATGACATGGCCTGGTCAATTGTCATCAAACCTTTGCTGATAAAATCGGAGATGGACTCTTCTCTAATATCGAACCCTGAGCGCCTCTGTCTAGCGGGATGTGGACTATTCACCTCTGCGGTTTGCAGTTGCTGGAAGATAGATCCGTTCCGATGAGTTGATATACACCTAGGACCACGATAGTGATAGTCACTGGAGTCTGCCGCTCCAAGGAATGTAGGCATTGGCCCAGGATCCGACATAATATGACTTGGCGAAGGAATTGGGATCTGCTGCCCTGGGATTTGACCCTGGGCTACATCTCCAAGAGGTCCCGGATTTGGCTGTATGTGAAGCTGGAGAAGCTTGTGCATATCACTCAATTGTGCTTGCAGTCGCTGTACTTCAGCCTCCACATTTCCCAGCCGTCTTCAGTTTTGGTCAGCTTTTGTCTACCTATAACCAAAGGGTCGTTTTTGAAGAGACGAGGTATGTAGACATACTCTGAGGACGGATCCCGTGGGATCTCGAAGAATACACATTGTTTCCGCGAGCGCCTGCACCTATTCCACTTGTAAGCAAAGCATTTTCACCCTCTATTGCAGATGCAGGAGAAAGGGCGACAATACCTAGTACATGGTCGTTTCCCGTCACATCTCACCTACAGCAAGGTTAATGGATACATAGGCGAAAATATTGCAGAGCTCAAGCACACTTTAGATTGTCGACAAGCGCTACAAGCCTTCTGTGATTAGCGTGAGTTAGCCAGTAACACATGCATATCCCGGAGAAGGGAAGAAAACTGTACAGGAATGCGCTTTTTCCCAATCGGGGCTGACACCACACACGAGGAGCCGTCAGACTCCATCTGGGTTGTAATGTATGTACCAAAGCCAACTAGGATGGATTACAGAAAGGGTTAATGCAAGAAGGACGCGGATCGTTGCATCAATGATATTAATGGGGGCGGGGCAATGCCGTCAACATCGGAGACTCGCCGGCTCGGGTAAAGAAATGCCGATACAACTACTAACGTTAATGCATATCTCCGCTTAGAACAAACTAAGGATCACACGCTATTTGAGCCTGATCTAGAGGTGGGCAAGCCTATTACAACTCCGTATCATACCTACGTAGAAGAATTAAAACCCGGTGACAAGCTTTAAGCAATGAATTATCAATATACTCCATCCAACAACAGGCCTTCATCACCTAGGTATAAAGCGCCGTACAAGATGACTGGTTCATTAACTTGACACCCATATCCGTGTATCTTGCTTTGCCATGACTAAAACTAGTTTTGCTCAGTACACATAGACAAAGTCTTCGTTCTCCCAGTCCGTGAGATCTTTGAACGCGTTGTCTTCGCTCACCGCGGGCTGCTGAGGCTCGGTTTTGTCCACTGGCACTGAGCCAACAGCTTGCATCGAATGGTCGACGATTTTTGCACTCTTACCCATACTCACTCGTTTTTCCTCGTGCTTTTTGTTGAGAAAATACAGGTATGCCATATTCATCCTAGCAAAGTATAGGTAAGCACATGTGCCCGTGTAGGGGTCAGTAGATCGAGCTTACATGGGGAGGAGGACGAGGACACAGAACATTGCAAGACTATAATTGCAGTCAGTATGAATACCGTATTATGAGTCCATTGCTGTCACCCACTTGGATAGCAAACCGCGTCGATACAAGGGCGCATCTGTGGTTGTGTACAGATTCGAGCCGAGAACCTGTCGGGTATAAGTAAACAGTTCTGATTAGACTTAATCTTTCACCTACGTTACCGGCGCATTGGCCAATTAGGACTATGCCATTCACAATCTTTTTCTTCGTCTCACCGGCGGTGTTTCCTGCAGACCATGAATAGATCATGGGCGCTAATAGTCTGTCAGCTTAATCCACTCGCAATATCCGTAGCAAACATACTAATTCCAGGATACACAGAAATCTTGTCTCCAGTTAGCAGAGCTATGTAAGTATCAGTACCCATGAAGACTTACAATGTAATATCCTGCAAGCAATGCTCCATTGTGGTGACCATCACGAGGAAGCTGTAGTAGCATGACGCAGCCTGCAATGGCAGGCAAAGATAACAGGACTATGACAGGTCCCTTCATTTTCAGCTTAGTCGCTAACCACGCCCCTCCCATTGTTGCCACGAGCTGTACAGCGCCAAAGGGTATGTTGAAAAGAATTGTTTTGAATTGATCAAAACCGAAGGCTTCAATGATTAGTGGGCCAAATGTCGAAATACCACCGCTAGGAATCCTTCCAGGTTGTGAGTCGTGACTGCATCAATGATGGGTATGGGCCGATCCTTACGAGACTGCAAACATTAAGGCAAACCAGAAAAATGACTTTATGTCGAGGCACGCTTCTTTGACATGATCCCACTTCCATTCATGTGTCTCAATACCTTGTTGGTTCATGCGAAGTCTTGGCAAGATTCAGTTAGCGTACTGTATGACAAGTACCTCACTCAAGCCGCACACCTCTCAATAGCTAAGAGCTTGTCTTCCTCGGTAAGAAATTTGGATTGAATTGGCGAATCGGGCATAAACAACCTACGCAGCCAGGGTTAGATGTGCACCTCAGTTGACTTTGAATGTGGCATAGCTCACAGGATAAGGCCTGAGAAAGCAATCGTTATGAGACCGAAGAATAAGAAGATAATCTTGGCTGGTAGTTAGACTTTCGAACATCAACAATTTGAAATGATATGACGAACCTGGTAGGGTTCAAAAACCGAAGACTTTATATGGCCCAAACCATACGAAAGCAGACTGCCAAACTACTTGCAGGAGTCTGGCCTTAGTATGACAACGCACGGGGTGTCCAAATGAGTTCAACGCACCATGAATACCACACCATTCATAGCGTACCACGAACCAAGTCGGACGGGTTGTTCGATTCGTCGATACCACATTTGCGTCACAGCGATGAAACACGGAGCTATATTCGTAATTCATAATCAGCATTGAGGGCCAGAGCGCCTAGGGTATTAGAGATACTCACGTATACCGGCTTCAAAGAGACCTAAAAACATCCGGCAGACCAACAAGCCCGCAAAGGTATTTGCCGGGGTCATACAAGTCAGGGCTATGCCCCAGCAAAGGGTTGTGCATGCCAGGAACTTTCCAATTGGAACTTTGACTAAGATGTAAGCAACGAAAGGTTGGGCAACGAGTTGTACTAGATAAACGACTGCTCCTAGCCAGGAATACTGTTGTCCATGGAGATTAGCTGTCTCGACGAGACCGAAAATGGATGCATACGAAAGACTGGACTTGTCGAGTTGCTGTAAGAAATATATCCCGAGGAGAATGGGCAAAAGCCTCAGGTCGATCTTTCGAAGCACCCGGGCGTTGTTCTCAGCTGTTAGGACAGATGAGTGTCCTGCATCTGCTATAATGCATAGGGCTCTGTCTTTTCCAGCCCCAAATAGGTGCTCCCTGTTCTGACGAGCAAAATCTTCAACAGACTCTATATACTCATCTTGACCTTGCCCTCCCGATGCTGATGCTTTGTGATGAGACATTTTCTTTTCCTCCTTAGGTCTTCAAGAGTCACTCAGCTAGCTCTGGAGGATAGAGTCTGTGGAGCTAAAAAAGAAAACTTCGATTTGAATGGAAGTACCTTTGGATTCCAGAATTTCTCCTATACGTAGAGCAGATGATGATAGGCACATAGAGTAGTGAACTAACACAGTAGAATATTTGGATGAACACTTTCGGATTTTGTTAGGATATACCAGCCTTAGTACAAGAACCCCGTGGGGAAAACATCATTCCCAGCCCCGGACAAAACCCCCCCAAAGCCGAAAGGGGAGCAAATTTACCAAGCCAAGGCTCGTCCTGTAGACCATACGAGGATTAGAGCGGACTGGGCCATCAATGCCGGCACAACACAACGGGATGGCATGGCATGACTGGTGACGACCGTCGGGCATCTTCCGATGATGCGCCCAATGATTCCCATCGTACTATCACCGTGTAGGACAAGAACCGCACTGGTGGGGAGATTGTAATATTAAAGAAGGTTAGTATCGGTGTTCGGTTGGAAAAACCGACATGTTGCCAAGAGCGCGGAGACGTTCTGTGGGGTAAGCAACCATGGCTGTCGGAGATGAGCCCGAAGTCCGATGTATACATGGTAGTTGCGCTTGACTAGTCCCGATGACACAGATGTGTGTGAAAACATTCAAATAGAGCTTCGAGTCTTGGTCTATTTCGCTGGTTTGAACCTGTCTTCAAATTGTGTTCTTTCAGACCGCTTAACAATCATGCCCCAGAAGGAATTTTGTCCCAAGAGCTATCAAGAGACGCCGGCAGGAGCTCAGAGCTCCGCCGCTGTACACCTTCGTTCAGGTTCAGACAAGCGACAATTTAACTTCTCATTTGAGCCAATTCGCGAAAACCTATTCAGATTGACCTTTTCTTCAGAGGACCATCCTCTTCCCCCCTTCCCGAGTGTGACCAAGCCAGTGACCAGCTTGGAAGACATCCATGTTTCTACAGAACATGGCTCTCAACAAAAGACTATCGAAATTGGTGATGTAACAGCCTCTGTGGAGTGGTCCAACACCCCAGTGGTCTCACTGTCATGGAAGGGCACCGACAAGCCTTTGTACAGAGATCTTTCCTTGCGGTCTTATGTAGCAGACGCATCCGGAATTGCGCATTACACGGAGCATGACCGGAATGACCTCCATGTTGGACTTGGGGAGAAAAGGGCCCCTATGGATCTTAGTGGCCGTCATTTTCAGCTCTCCGCAACAGACAGTTTTGGATACGACGTGTATAATACCGACCCCCTATACAAGCACATCCCACTTTTGATCAAGGCATCACCCGCGGGATGTGTTGCTATCTTCTCGACCACACACGGCAGAGGAACGTGGTCCGTTGGCTCAGAGGTTGATGGCCTCTGGGGCCATTTCAAAGTATACCGCCAAGACTACGGTGGTCTCGAACAGTATCTTATCGTCGGAAAGACACTCAAAGACGTCGTGAGATCGTATGCAGAGCTTGTCGGCCACCCGATCCTCGCCCCCAGATGGGCGTACGGTTACATCTCCGGAGGATACAAGTATACCATGATGGATGAGCCACCCGCCCATCAAGCGCTCATGGAGTTTGCCGACAAACTGAAAGAGCATGATATTCCCTGCTCTGGGCATCAAATGAGCTCCGGCTACTCGATTGCCGAAGTCGAACCCAAAGTTCGCAATGTCTTCACGTGGAACAAGTACCGGTTCCCCAATCCGGAAGAGTGGATTGCCAAGTACCATTCACGAGGAATTCGTCTTATAACCAACATCAAGCCGTTTTTGCTTGGATCTCACCCAGATTTCCAGAAGCTTATTGATGGAAATGGATTCTTTAAAAACCCTGAGACAAATGAGCCAGGGTATATGAGATTGTGGAGTGCTGGTGGAGCAACTGGAGGTGACGGATGCCATATCGATTTTACTTCAGCCTTCGCCTTCAAATGGTGGTATAACGGAGTCCAGAGTTTGAAGCGCGCCGGCATAGATGGAATGTGGAATGACAATAACGAATACACCATTCCAGATGATGATTGGCAGCTTGCTCTCGATGAACCAGCTGTATCTGGCGGTGTCAAGACGGGGGTTAAGGGCACCGTTGGAGACTGGGGCCGCGCAATGCACACAGAACTCATGGGTAAAGCCTCTCATGATGCCCTGCTCGATCTTGAGCCCAACCAGAGACCTTTCGTTCTGACTCGGAGTGCTACGGCTGGTACGATGCGCTACGCAGCTAGCACATGGAGTGGAGACAACGTTACCAGCTGGGAAAGCATGAAGGGTGCTAATGCTTTGTCCCTCAACGCCGGTATCTCGCTTTTACAATGCTGTGGACACGATATTGGAGGTTTCGAAGGACCTCAGCCTTCTCCAGAGTTACTACTCAGATGGATTCAACTGGGTATCCACTCACCTCGATTTGCCATCAACTGCTTCAAGACATCGCCCGAAAACAACTCCGTCGGGGAGGTCATTGAACCCTGGATGTACCCCGAGATCACCCCTCTTGTTAGGGACACCATCAAGCGTCGGTACGAAATTCTCCCTTACATTTACTCCCTGGGCTTGGAGAGCCACTTGACCGCCTCTCCACCCCAGCGCTGGGTGGGCTGGGGTTACGAGTCTGATCCTGAGGTTTGGACCAAGGCGCTTAAGTCTGGGGAGGAGCAGTTCTGGTTTGGTGACACTATTATGGTCGGCGGTGTCTACCAGCCGGGTGTGAACGTCGCAAAGATATATCTTCCCCGGAAGGCCAATGATCAATTTGACTTTGGATATGTGAACATGAACGAGCCTTATACTTATTTTGCTTCCGGACAATGGGTTGAGATCCCTTCCGAGTGGAAGAAGAGTATTCCCCTCTTGGCGCGAATTGGTGGTGCCATCCCAGTTGGAAAGCCTGTACACACCCGTGTTCCCGGTGATGACACTCCAGCATCAGTGGCTGTTGAGAAGGTCGATGATTATAGAGGTGTTGAAATTTTCCCGCCTCGTGGCAGCTCTCATGGCCAAGCTTTCAGCACTACTTGGTTTGAAGACAACGGAATCTCGCTAAAACCAAGTATCTCCCAATACACCGTTAGCTACAGCTCAACTGAAGAGAAGGTGACGGTTGGTTTCACTCGGGATCAGAAATCTGGATTCGTTCCCGCCTGGAAGGAACTGGACATCATCCTTCACAACGGTGACGAGAGACGGGTTGTTTCGGATATCGGAAAGCCGGTGGAGTACAAGGGAAGAGACTCTCGCGGACGCGTGGTGTATACCTTGAAGAACTGAAAGACATGATGTTTTGCTGCTGGCTTGGTAAATCCCACAGTGTATTCCAATTGCATGTCAAGGGGCTAATTAGAGTTCCTAAGTGGAGGAACTGTATCATGATGGATTGCGAGGTTTGAAAACCCAATAGAGATTATAGATTTGCATGTTTATATTAGAGTGTCTCTGAAGTGAGAAAAGCTTGTGAAGGGTGTAGTCCATACATACACAGCTCCACGGGACTTAGAAATGTCGAGGGACCCACCCGGAGTGATAACCCGTACTAATTGGGCGGAGCTGAATGGCCATCCGACTTTCTAATTAGGAAGGAGGGTTGTGTACTGCGCCCACATATCGCTCTTGCATAGACTACAGATATAAGTTATATGCATATATTCTTCTTCTCAGACTCAGTATCCTGGTCGATACAGGGTTGGTGGTTTCGCATGCTAACGAGTACTACATGAAGATTTGTTCTAATGCAGAAAGCGTCGTGATTAGTTAAAGGGTGGAGGGAGCACGACTACAAAATAACGTATCGTAGGAACACACGCTCTGGATCAACATTTCCTCTTATACCAGCTTAAGATCCCTTACCAAGTATTTTTTTGTAAAATCCTCTCCCAGCCAATCCTGCCAAGCCCTAGTCAGTGGTCCAAGTTCTTGGTTGCGGTAAGCAATGCCGATTCTCTCATACTCTTCCTCACTCGCCTCCACCCGGCGCACTATGAGCCATGATTCCTCAATGATAATATCGCCGCTGTTTGTTCGGTTTCTAAATTGCCCTAATTGAATATACACCCATGAGGGTGGGTTGAAGGCAGAGGACCCGACTTCAGAATGTGCTAATGCAGCTCCCAAAACCTCCTGCTGGGCCATAGTATCCAAACATAATCTGGTAAAATAAGAAGTAGGACCTTCGTAAACCCTTCCTCTGATTTTCAGCCACCCTCCGATAATGATAGTAAATGGATCGTTAACGTCTCCTAGAGTCTTCATTGTATTGTCGACGTAGTGGAAATCACGGTCCTCTTCAAAATCCCTCAGCGAATATTGGAATTCTTGGTCAGTTGAAGCCCAAGTCCAAGTCGGCCGGCGTCGGGAGTTAAATTTGTTTGATGGTTGAGAGTGATATTGAGTTCTATGTTTAGGCTTTTCAAGCCAACCTAACCCGAAACCTAGGTTGTTCGTCCATAGACCAGCAATGTATGGTACACCTGTCCGTTCGTGTAGAGACCTCGCAATACCCGCTATGGCGATGAGTCGATCTTCCATCATAGTGAACTTTCTACTGGAGTATCCGAATCCAATGAGCCAGTCGTACCAGATCTGCCTTATCCTATCGGGAGAGATCTCTCGATTCATAGCCAGGGAAAGAGTGCCCTGGGCTGTGACAAAAGGCAGACGATCCTCCATCTCATATAATTCTCTGCATTCCCAAACCAGTTGGGAGTTTGTAAAATGAATTGTCCGCGGCGATAAGATTCTTTCCTGAAATACCCATCCACGTTGGCTCAGAGCACAGCCAATCAATGGGGCAGGTTCTCTAAGAGGATCATCCTCGCTCAAGTTTGGTGCCCAAAAAATCAATGTCGATGGCTGACCACTTGCGACTGTGAGCCTATTTATGATTTCGATCAAACTCCCTCCACCCAACTTGTCTTGCCTTATTCCAGTACTGCGATAACATCCTCCGGTACTATCCTCGCTAGCACTCGCTGCGACTGTGAGATATGAGCCGTCATATATATAGCCCATCTTCATCGATTCTTGAGCCCAATCAGCTTGTGAGTCTTGGATGATGCACAACGCATCTATCCACAAATACTGAATGCCTAGTCGGCGGGTAATGCTAATAGCATCCCGGAAGTTTGCAGGTAAATCATCAAGTTTTATTCCTTTCATGCGACTGGAAAGATTTCCTCTTGTTGTGATGGCATTGGTGTCAAGCTTTTGGCCCCAACAATGACTTAGAGTCATATATCTTGGGCAGACTGGCAGGTTTTCAACTAACCGCACATTGTGTCCGCATTCAATGTCATAGTTATGGTCGCCGCAAAATGCTCGGACGTCAACCAAACGAAGTGGACCTCCAGTCTCCACCATATCATTTGGTCTTTTTGGTTCAAGCCCATCATTAACTGTTGTTGTTCTGAATGTAGCATGACGACGCGATCTGAACATGCTTATAGAGCAGTTGTGATTCCCCAAGCACTCTTGCAAGCAGTGTTCGATGAACTTGAACGAGTCATCTGACCGGGTTCCAGGCAATGGAGAAGTGATTGCCGGGACACCAAACTTCTCGGCAGGATCACCTGGAGAAGTTAGCTCGACTCGTTACTACTTTCTCGGGCCTGCAGTCTACCTTTCTTCGTCATTACGAAAATTGGTTTCCATCTGCTTGTCGAAGATTGGCATAAAACAGGTGGGAGGCCGGGAAATATAGGCTCCGCTAGTCTTAATAAGTCATCTTGGTCGGAAGAATCGAGGAGAGAGCAAAGCGGGCACCATTGTGTTCTCCTAGAGTGCTCATATCCCATCGTTAGGGCTTCAATAGTGATCCCTTGGCAGTGCTTACATACTTTCGCCGGTACCTGCTGACGATTCGTGTTTTTATTTGTTGCTTGCATCTTACCATCTATAGCCAAAGGCTGCGCAATAACTCGGGTAGCCTGTAATATAAGGACTGTCGTTCCGCTTGTATGCTGCACGCTCAAAGCGGTATCAATTTCCTAGCACGGTTCAAGGTGCGCTCTTTGGCTTTACAGAGAGAATCCCTCTGTCACCATGAGCCAAAGTGGGGCAGCGATGTATGGTATGTCATTTCATATTCGAGATTGTTGACGTGGCTCGCCTATATTGGCGCTCTGCAGGATTGCCGTAGTGTCAGCCTTGCGAGACGCTACCAAGAATTATCTCGGATCTGGAGGCTCAGAAAAAAAGAAAAAGAGAAAAACTTAAGCAAAGATACTTCGTTGTAGTAGCTATATCCGGGTATCACTTGTTCTATTTGTTTACTAGCTGATGTCAGCAAAGGGTCCATTATATATTTACATGTATATTTCCTGATCTGGCTTGTTTACAGATAAATAAAGAAGGGTAGACTTTTGTAGTTACTGGCCCTGCTAGGTAAGTGCCAAAACCATCCCTATAACAGTTATTTGTATATCAAGCAACTACGATCTTCGTGCGGAATGTGTCCGTTTGCTTTGGGTCTATTTCATTCTATGAATGATTGAGCATACCCGAGTATTGCTACTAGGGACTATCATAGGTACACCACGGAAATGTGGGGGATAAACCAATCGTCATATGTGGGGTCTATGACTCCTTCGGATCCTTTGATCGGCTATATTCTCTACCGGTTATATCTCTACTCTACTTCAACATCTACCCACGCGAAGACTTAACCTAACATACTACGCAAAACTACAATCCTACAATCCTATCTGAACTCACCTGTCATCACGATTACCAACATGTCGCAACTCAAACTCGCAATCCTAGACGACTACCAGAATATCTCTCCACCCCATTTCGCCCATCTCGAGTCCCGCATCTCAATCTCCTACTTCCCGGAAACGCTCGACCCACGCGATAAACGCCAACATGCGCTCCTGATCGAGCGCCTCCAGCCCTTCGACGTAATTCTCGCCATGCGCGAACGCACTCCGTTTTCTAAGGAAACGCTCTCCGCGCTCCCGAACTTGAAACTCCTCCTGACCACGGGCACTCGCAATCTCGCCCTGGACGTGCAATACTGTGCGTCGCGCGGAATTCCCGTCGCCGGAACCGGGGGCCGACCGGCGGGGGTCCATTCGACGGTACAACATACCTGGGCTTTGATCCTAGGTTTAGCGCGACATGTTGCGCGGGATGATGCGGCTGTTAAGCGGGGAGAATGGCAGGGGTCGCTTGGAATGACGCTGGCGGGGAAGACATTGGGATTGCTGGGACTAGGAAAGTTAGGTTCGCAAGTTGGGCGGATAGCGGTTGTGGCTTTCGATATGAAGGTGATTGCGTGGTCTACGAATCTGACGCAGGAGAAGGCGGACGAGCAGGCTGCGGCTTTGGGGTTGCCGGCGGGTAGTTTCCAAGCTGTTCGGGACAAGGCTGAGTTTTTCCGTAGCGCGGATGTGGTGAGTCTTCATAGTGTATTGTCGGAGCGGAGTCGGGGCATCGTCGGTGCTGCAGAGTTGGAGGTTATGAAGCCAACGGCGATCCTGGTGAATACGTCGCGGGGTCCGTTGGTGGAGGAGAAGGCATTGTTGGAGACGCTGAATGCGGGTCACATCCGTGGGGCGGCCCTGGACGTTTTCGACCCCGAGCCTCTGCCTAAGGATAGCCCCTGGCGGACAACGGCGTGGGGTCAAGACGGACGGAGTGAGGTGGTGTTATCACCGCATACGGGATATGGGGATGAACAGATTCATGGGTGGTATGATGAGGTGGCCAGTAATTTGGAGAGGTGGTTGAATGGGGAGGAATTGAACACGCGCATGAATTGAATTGCATTGCATTGAAAGGGGGCAATCAACATTTGGTCGCAGAAGATCGAGAATGGCATGCGGGACGATTTGAAGAGACTAAAGTCTTAAAGGACAAGTTGCATACAGAAGCGTGTGATGTCGTGCATGTGATCCGGATGTGTAACCTTTTTGGCTAAGGTATGCTTCACCGAGTCCCAATCTGTCCTTAGAGCCAATTTCTTTCCTGTCCAAATGAAGCTTAATTAAAAGACTCGTTTCGTCGTATTCTGGGTTTCATGTGGATTTCGTCATAGTGGGATATAGTGGGGGATCTCCGTGGACCAGGAAATCGAGCTGTTTTCTGTACCTCGGATCCTGTGCCAGCGCAAAACCATCCAGACACTCCGACGTCGAAAGAGTTGAATCAAGTATACAGGGTTTGAGGATTCATGTGGAAGTAATCATGATTCATACAAATTCAATCATATGATTCGAACAACAATGACACACCACGTGGTATACCGGTACAAGGTTAAAAAGTCACTGACAGTCGCTGGGAAGATTATCTAAGACCCCCTCGGGTGAGCCGAGGCACCCGCTGGAACTGTACGGTAAGTAATAAACTATCGGAAACACCAGGTCAACCCGACCAACTATCCCCAACCCTAATCTTATTGCGACTCATTTAACCCGCGCATCGGCATTTAGCCTCGACACGTAGTGTCCCAAGCCACGCCATTCATAGATTAGGTACGACTGACGGCCTAAGACATGGCCCCACTCATCTCCATTCCATCTCTCCGCAGGCAGGATCCTCGGTACAAGGGAAGGGAATCACGGCTGAATGCGGAAATCTATAAAGATGATGCAGGATCTCAATGACATCCCACCTCCCCCGCCCCCACTACTACTACATCTCTGACTGCCATCCCTCCCTCCCTCCTTCTTCTACGCCCCCAGATTAAAGCATCCTCCCACTGAAAGCACTCAATTACTCCTCCAATTCATCTCAATTGAACCACATTCCATCTACAAACGGCCAAGATGTCTCCAATCGCTGTTCAACCTACAGCAGCTACCACATCTACCACTACCACAACTGTCCTCCCTACCTCCATTGAGACGCCCCCGACTCATCCAGACCTAATCCGAGTCGACCGTGGCACAAAGGCCTTTTCCTCCAGCGCCGTGTCCCTCGTCGCACTGCCCGCCGGCTCCCTCTTCGCCAAGATCACCACAGCCACTCCCTCCAAGAAAGCATACACCTCCGTACAGACCGGCGCCAACAGCCACATCGAGCTGAACTCGGATCTTGTGTATTGCAACCACTCATGCAACCCATCGCTGAACTTCGACATGGGCAAGATGGAGGTCCGAGTCGTCGATGATCGCGACCTGAAGGTGGGCGACCAGCTTACGTTCTTCTATCCCAGCAGTGAGTGGGATATGGACCAGCCTTTCCAGTGCAACTGTGGAGCTGGAGAGGGCATTTGCAAGGGGTTGATCAACGGGGCGAAGAAGATGGACGGGAAGGATTTGGAGGGATACTGGTTAAACGACCACATCAAGGAGTTATTGCAGGAGAGGGTCTCTTCGTAATCTAGAAAACCATGTATGATGAAATTACAGGGGCAGACTGGGGTGGAAGCTGTGTACTTACGGATATTAGATACCAGACGATAGACATAAATCTCAAATCTCTAGATGAAAACTTCCAAATGGAATATTATTCACGATACGGAATTGAAATTAGTGTGCCATGTCATTAATCGTTTCATTGACTCGTGAGTGCGCTGGCTTTAATCCCATCCATCCTCTGCTGTAACGCAGCCATCTTATTCCGCATCGCATTGACCGTCTCACCCAGTGACGTATGCTCCAGCTGCGCATGTAATTTCCGCACCTCATCTTGAGCCCTAAAGAACTCCTCGTATTCTTCACTCCCTAGGCATACACCATACCCCTCACAATAACAGACCCGCTCGTCCGGACAAACTTCGGCTTGCCCCGTAAAGATCCACTGCCATAAGTACTCCCACACCCGTCCAGACAAATTATCATCCAAATCCGTCTCGATCAACCACCTCCGGTACGCGACATAGTTCATCAACGGCACCCGCCGAATCACTTCCGCACTAACTGCAAACTGACTGCAACACGGCTGCGCCAGCACAACCGGCATATGCTCCTCCGGAAATAACGTCTTCCAAGACTCCCCGATGACCACTGCTTCAGGCACATCCGGGGTATACTGCCCGCCCGCGAGGGTAGGTCGAATCTGCTCCGGACAGCCGGGGTCGTGTTGACATCGCAAGTTCGTATATCCTTTTTTGTAAACGTAGTCGTTTCGCAGACGACGGACCATCAGTGCCGAATCCATGTTCATGAGATCGTTATTATGCCAGGAGATTTGGTCTGCATGCATGAAGATCGTCACGTCGCTGAGCTGGAAGTAATGTTCGATGATATATGTCAGATACACCATGACCTCATGGCCCTTATTTATCGGCACGGTTAACGTAGTATCAGTCGTGTTTGGCGCGTCGACTGTGTACACTGCGCTGGATAACCGATTATCGTCGTGCACGAGCGTATCGACCCAGTTCGTGTCCGCATCTTGCGTCTTAGCTATGACCAATGTACGCTCATTCATCCTTTCCACGGGTTTCGGCACCGTAACCAAACGATAGATGTTCCCGCCGCGACGATGCGCAAAGAAAAAGAGATAAAGAGAACCGCAGATCAAAGCTGACGTCGCCGCGCTAATGACCCAAGCCTGAGTCCGGCGCATTCGAATCATCCACATAGTGAGGAGAAGTAATCGGTAAGTTTTCCTATCCCCTCCTTATCCGTTTTGCGTAGGCGTTTCCGTCCTGTCATTTTTTTTTTTCTTTCAGCCTCCTCGGACGGGTCGTTGCGCGAGCCGGCAGCTAATAAGGGATTTGTGTCAATGGCTGAGTATTAGGGTGTTGACTGCGATCGGCACATAGCCTCGCTTGCTGGTAAACGCCATGGCTGTCGATCAGCGGCTCCTTAGTTTTGGGAGTTGGGTGCCGTGAGGGATGTTGTTGGTTCGGCTTTGGAAAGGTGGAGATCTCTTTAATTCGTTTGCCCGGTGCATACGTAAACCTCCTCGGGGATCGCATGGTTTAGTGCTGGGGTCGAAAAACACCGGGTTTTGTGCTGAGGGGCTGAAAAGTTCCTTCAGAGCCTTGTCTTACTCAGAGCATACGATCATATTCCTGCGTTTGTGACTAGGCAACAGTGTGGCTAAAAATATACATAAGATATGTATGTCATCTGGTGAAGCTATGTTTCATACTACACAACAAACACATGGTAAACGGTTATCATTCCCGGATCTAATCAAATCATATCATATCAACGATTATCATATCACATCAATACATAAGCCCACATTAAGTAGAAATTTCTGACCCTATGATCAAGTCCATGATCGGAACTCTTAACTTCGCACTTACATCTTGGCCAGCGTCCCATCTCCCCATTCTCTTCTTCCCCTCAACATACTCCACAGCCTTCCTCTCTAGCAATTCCCAATCAAGTAGCGAAGAAACAACACCCGACTTCCGAAGCCTCTCCAGAGCATCGACCACCCACGACCGACAATCAAAAACCAACGCTTTCTCCTTGTCAGGATGATCAACCTGGTAGACAGGCGTTTCACCAAACACCCTCTCCACATGCTCCTGCGAGACAATTTTTCCGATCACAACACAAACCAATAACCGCGGTTCCAGATTAATATCATCTATCATGGATCGCTCAAAGCGCCAGGGCTGGGAGATCCGGTCGTTGATATTTTCGATTGTATTTTTGACATGGTATTTAGTTGCCGGAAGAGGCTTTGCGTTCTGCGCTGCTGTGGTTTTGGGGCAGAATAATAGAGCATAGTGATAGCTTTCGGGGTGCTTAGGTCGTGCGTAGAGGGCTAGTAGAAGGCGTGATTTGTTTCGCTGAGATTTCATAGCGCATTTACTCTGTAGTAGTATATACTCTGTATTCTGCAGTGACGCTGATGGTGATGGTGATGGTGACGGTCAATTACTGGCAGAGGAAGGTAAAGCGTGCCTATTTGGGGAAAGCGCATTGGTGCCGTTGGCGTGTGGTCTATAAAGATTGGCCTCTAAAGCCAGAAACCCACGCACAACCATGATCTTTCCCCCGTAACTCGCAGTTACTCCGTACTTTGGGTATCTTATCTGGCTAGGATGTGGTCTGATGTTGAGGCTGTTTGCTTGGACTGCCCATTGATAATCCTCCCATACTTTCCGAAGACACCTCTCTACCTTCTGCTTTTAAATGCATATCTTGCCTCTTATTCTATAAGATTCTCTGTAAGGATCTCTCGTTGTATATGTTCATAATATATTCGAGTAAGTACTCCATCCTAACATCGTAGGATCCACTACCCGAGACATGTCTCTAGCGACCCATGGGAATCCTGGGTACAGTACACGTACAACACTCATCTATAGGGAACAGAACTGTAAGGTCTCATACTGATCCTGGAAGTAAACGTAAGTGCCCCTGAAACTAGACTGACACAGGGAGATCAGCTTACGTCAAGCCCGGCCCACAGGCAAATGACCTGCCAGACGAAAGAAATCTTAAATATGCTTAATGCATTATCTACCTATCCCCAATCACCAATCTAGCATTCCCAATGACATTTATATATCTATAACCCACCCTCTATCAAACCAAACCATATAAAGCACACACACACACACACACACACACAAACAAAGCCTTCGCAACCTCTCTATCCAGGAAAAAAGCTCAAACTCAACTCACCCCTGCGCCTTCACCCAAGCATCTCCCCCAGAAACAACCGTACTAATCACCATCGTCACACCGATCACCAGTTCACTAATTTGCATCCAGCCAACGAACACCCCCGGGATCAGGAGATCGCATCCGTCGACCACGATGCGCTTCATGAGGGCTGTTCTCTGGGCCTTGGATTGAGAATCATCGGTATTGGGTACCGTTTTCTCGGCGTTCTTATTCTCTTTCTGTTTCTCGTTGCTGCTAGTCTTGCTACCAGCAGATGAAGGGGAAGTAAATAACAAGCCCAAAACAGCACCGAGGACGGATAGTGAAAGAGAATAGAACCAGAATTTGAAAGCTTCAACCAGGATTGGTGTATTCCAGGCGACGGGGTGGACGCCCAATGCGTGGAGCTGTTTATCTTATTAGCCTGTCCGTCTAACTATCTCTTCAACACCATAACAAGGGTCTAAGACCCAAAAAAAAAAAAATAAATAAATAAATAAAATAAAATAAAATAAAATAAATCCAAAGAAAAAAGAAAGAAAAACTCACAATAGTCAAATCCTCCAAAACAAGATACAACCCCAAACAACTCCACCGCCCAATTTCAATCATGGTCATAAACAACCCTTGGCCCTGCGCCCCGCCAAGCAGTCCATAAACCTGACTAAAGCAATCGATGAACGCGAAGAAACGGAAAAACCGTCTCGCTGTTCATGCATTCAATTATTAATTAACTCTGTCTTATTATTCGATTTGTGTATTCGCAGAGATTTCTGGGACTTACTCAGCGCTATTTGCGATCTAGCTGTCTGCCATTGCGCGGTCGTGGTGGATCCCGGGGTGATATCGAGTTCTATGGCGATATGGGCGAGGGATTGGATGAGACGGCAGGTCTTCTCGAGGCCTGCGGTTGTGCGAGTGAAGTTGGCGAATTGGTGGAGGAGGCTTGGTTTGGGTTTTTGGGTGAGGGTTTTGACTGTCATTTTTGCTCTGTTTTGTTTTGTTTTGTTTTATTTTCTTCTTTATGACTTCATGGACGCGTTGTAGAGGTACCTCAATTATGTTTATACGCGAAAGGCGGGTAGTTTGGGTTATATTTACCGGGGGCTGACGCTAAATCTTATAGGCGATAAGATGAGGATAGCTGTTCTTATTGGTAATCATGGCCGGGCTTCCGAGCCGTGTTTCCACTGCCGAGCGGCATTAGATCCATGCGGGTGAATTGGCTCAATTGACCTATCCTTTTGCAATCATTGTTTGGAAGACAACTGCCGGGCGGGCTTTTACTGGTGCTCTTTTGGATTAGATGGTTCAAACTTTATTTCTTTTTATTTATTTATTTATTTATTTTTTTTTTTCAAACGTAAATACCTTCTTAAATGGGTTATAACTTAATGATGGATCCTTTGCATTGACAGCGCAAACTAAATAATCTAATTTCCGATTTCTTTCATTTATCTCCAAGATCATGAGGTTAGAGTTTAGGAAGAAGCGATGGAATAAGACATGCGTCTACTGACCGATCTGCGTAGTTTTCTCCCCCATAATCACATCTAGGCTAGTTGCATGCTACCCTGGAAGTAGTTTTGGGGTTTTGTCAAGGGACCAAGAGAATGCAGGAAACATCCTAATTGCCTCGACACATTTCAACCGCTTTGACTGCAAAGGCGGTTGTAAGGCCACGGTTGCCAATGTTCATTTTGGACGAGCCATACCGGGTGAATGGACAAGGTTCCCACGAGCCATCTTCACACTGCATCGCGAGCAACTCTCCGAGATCCACTTCAATTTGAGACACACCAACGGACAAACAGGTCAAGATCCGCATAGCCAGTGACAGAGGATCTGCTTTGACCTGGATACGTTCCTTGAGACGATCTATAAGCAACTTTTCCAGCGGCCGAAGTTCCAATACCTCTGTTGAGAATCGACAAAGCTGACCGACAAAGTACAACGTGTACCTTTTAATTACGCCCGATGCGTAAGGACATCGTACACTAATTGAAGAGCCAAAGGGAGCGCATTGGCGCTGCCGTGGGTGCGAAAGGGGTGAAGGACATTAACGCAAACTACTGAATTGATCCGTTCTCGGGTCTGATCAAAATATGTCTATATATTTGTTAAGTGAATTTTCTTGTTTTGTGTTGGGGTGGATATAAAAGTTTAAATCAGCGTCAACGAGCCGAGAGATCTGATCGAGACGCAAATTTGTAGTCATTGCATGTGTAAGCAGAGTTATCAAGGCAAGAGATGTTGTGTCAATATCTTCTGTGAGTTAGCCCACAGTTCCAGTGTTCTCAATTGTATGTTGACTCCCATGCCTTCGAAAAAGTTCCAGCTCTGTTGGCGATTTTCAAACGGTATCAGGCTCCTTACTAGTACAGTATCAGCATTTGACTCAACTTCGCAAAGACGGCCGGCATACTTATCACCAGTCACTTCTAGAATGAGCAACGGTGAGAAATCTTCCCGACCAATTTGATTGTTAGCCTCAACCCTTGCTGTATGAATCACCCTCTTGCGGCAACTGACGGCTGGTGGGTATGATGTAGTTCTCAAGGAGCAGCATGGGTGATCTTGAATGCTTTAACAGCCCTAAGAGCCCGAGCTAATAGCCACCATGTTTGCCCTAGAAGCTTCTCCACCGAGTCGTTCATACCATATCAAAATCCTCCCATTACTTACCGGGCCTTTAGGGTAAATACACCTAGAAATCATTTTTGTATCAATATGAAGGGGCAGACTGTCAACCAGCAGGTCGCCGCTTCCACGCTTAAAAGCTAGGAGTTCCTCGCACGGTCCCGTAGCCTCTTCACAACATCTGCCCTTCATGCTATATATGCTAGTTTTAACCATGACCTCCCCGTGATATTCCCTGGGCTCTCAATGGGCCCCCTCAACTCGCTAAGAGTTCAATAAGAGGACTGTATACCCTGTATGAGACAGTGATATAATTATAATACAATTGGACAAATATTATCCAATGGTAGTGAGCAGCAGTATGCATTCCATAGTCGTGATTAGTGGCCAGGAGGAGGCCTGGAGTCTTCGGGCTATTAAGGCCATATGTCGTTCAGAGAGCTTATCTAGGAAACTTCGCTAAAGGAGCAATGCATGCTTTTTCTGCCTCTAGTAGAGTTTTGTCGATATCAGGTTCAGAGAAGCTGTCACTATCAAACATAACCTCCGCAGCTGGTACCGTTTTGTGTGATATAGAGTTAACACAATCTGTAAGTCTTGCACCAGCCTCTCTAAAATAGTTGTCTATCTCTGTTTTAGCATCCTCTTTTGCTCTCTGCTCGAGCCGAGCCTGCTCTGCCAAGATTTGTTCAAGTCGTATCCGCAATTTGTCCTGCGAGGCATGTTTTCGTGACCAAGTGTTTTCGATGATGGCTTGGAAGTCCGACCGGAGATTCTGAATATGTTGAACAACTGCTGCATCCTGATGCATCTTGGCCAAACCTATACCGGCTTCTAGACTCTGGAGGATCTTTCCAGCATCCTGTGATAGGCGATGAACTGCAGAGTGACGAATATTGGTACAAGTCCTGAGGATATCTCTTCTTTCTTCATCACGAACAGCTGCTAATACTGGTGGTAACTTGTCCCGACAATCTAAGATAACGCGACACCATATATGTAACTCCAGTGACTTCGGCTCTGTCCAGCCACGCTCCTCGAAAAGTGATTGACATTGGTGATGTTTGGCCCCAAAATTTTCACACATTTCTTCTAGGACGTGCTGGAGATAGGATAGCAATACATGTTGGTCTTTGAGGGGAAGGATAATGGAGCTTGGTAATACCTCGCTAGAGATTGCTATTTAGCCCGCATCACCTATAAAAATGTTGTATGTTATATATACCTTGATGGATTCTGCTTAGCTTTTATCCGTTCCGATGGCTGCGCTCCTGTGTTGCCTCCTTTGTGTTCGCCACGCGCCTTGGTCCCCTTTTTTTTATTCTTTCTTTTCTTCTGCCGTCTCTCATATTGGTTCATATTTATCCCAAAAAAATAACTTAATCAGTATTATAAATGGGATTTAGAAACAAAAGCGGAGGCAATCAAGGAGAACCATCGCTACATAACGCGTCTGGTCACGTTAGACAGATGTGGAGAAATGGCACTTATGCAGGAAACGGATAGCTCGTGCGTTTTAGACTGCCTCGAAGTAAAGAGACGACATCCACTGGATAATAGTCAAAAGCCGAAAAGAATGAACCTCCCCCTGATCCGGAAAGAGGGCGGGGGTTGAATGGGCGTCAAGTCAAGCCCCTTGAAATCCAACCTTGCCCTCGATACCGAAATCAGAAATTGCCAAGAATCTGTTGCTGAATTGTCACCTGTCCAATAAAGCCCGACCGATTGATAAAGCTAGAAGTTACAAGGGTTAATAAAAACTACCTCTGTAAGCAGAACTTGGTGGTTTTAATCAAAAATTCAGGTATATCTTCAACCCCATACTCCCGGTTCTAATATAAACTGGGGTGCTGGTAGTCTAAGTATATTCTCACTAACAACTAGTACATACTAATACTCACCTTCCCGAAAATACTGCGCCACACAGCCGAAGGAACGCCTTCAAAAAGAAGAGAAAAGTTTATGGAAGTCGACCATGGAGCCTATCTGCAAGAGGTAAAGCTACACTTTGAACCGAAGTCAGTTTATCACTGCCTGAAATACTCTTCCCTGGCTATTATATGCAAAGCTAAAGTTCTGAAAACTATATACCGACAATGTAAAAGCGTGAATGTTGTGATGGGGAAATCCCGCGGACTACCGTTCTATATAGTGTATGAGCATCATGCCGCTCAGTGTCAGACCGAGGTTGACAAACTAGAGTTAGCGCGGGTGACCTATTTTTTGTAAATAGTACAGGCCTAGATATAGCCTTATCAAAACCTATAATTTATTCAACATCAATTTAGAATGAATCCTTCTAATCACGCTAACGCTCAATCTACATCTAGGCCAGCATATCCCCACGTACCAGTGGTATTCAACGACCCTTACCACCGGAGATATCCTGTCCCAGGCGGTATCCTCCTACCTTCTCCCATTCCACCTTCTGCCGTGTGATGGGGAGCTGTCTGCGCAGGCCCTTGAATGCGCCCTCAGCCATCTGCACGAACGCGCGGTTCAGATCCTCCTGGTAGTCGCGCTCCGCAGTTGCAATGCGGGAAATGATGCTCTCGGCGGACAGGGATGAGACGGAAAGGTTGATGGGCTTGTTCGTGTTCAGCGCCACGTTGCCATCTTCGTAGTAGTGGACGTCAACCTGGATCTTGCCGGTCACGGTCGTGGGCTCAGAAACAGGGAACTGATAGGTAGCGCGGAAGCGACCGTTCCTTAATGGGTAACTCATTTAGCACCAATAGACCCGACAAAGCATTTATATGGACCCACCAGAAGTTGTTAGGCGAGTAGCGGTTCGAAACCAACAAAATAGCTATGGCAGAGTCGTTTTCAATGGGGTATACACCGTACGCGCAATTAGGGTAGTGCTCACGGGCGTGAGCACCGAGCGACTTGAGTAGCGAGTTGCTGCAATTGCTATCAGCAACAGCTTTTCCAACCCGGTATCCACCGACTCACATCAAGTCCGCATTCTGCGAATCCAATACATAAGACTGCGCCGCGGAGGCTTCCTGAAGCCAATGTCAGCCTTCCCCCCGCCTAGACCCCCACCAAAAAGCAGCCATACTTGTGTGACATGATCGACTTCGAACGACGTCTGACTCTCGACGTCAAAGTAGCGGTTACCTTCCAATTTGTTGTATTCGCTGATAAGGACCTTTGCAGTTGCCTTGTCAGACATTGACTCTCCACGCGATTATAAGGGTCACCCCACCTCCTGACTCGCTCCGGGCAGCTTCACGGTCGCCAGTTGCGTTTCATTGTATCGCTCGAAGGCGGGAGCAAGGGATGGGATGATATCGGCACCGTCGGAAGTAAGCGCTTTCACATCTGGTTATTCGATCTTGTTTAGCTTTTGGCTCTGGATGGCTTGGGAGCTCTGGCGGGGGAGCATGTGCAGTCTGGGATGCGGGGAACGGGCAACATAAACGAGCGAGGGAAAATTACCGGCAACAACGTCGGCGAGCTGGGAATTTAATGTTAGTCACACAGCGAAAATATACCGCAGGAGAAGAGCTCGACTTCACGGGCATACCTCGCCTGGCGGGGCACCCTCAATGAACGAGGAAGCGATGTCAACTGTGGATGCCATATGGACAATCAATTATGAACGAGTTCTAGGTAAGTGTGATGAATCGATTTCTCCAGAATATGAGAATGTCTGTACAGAGTAAACCAATAGACAGGTAAACGCCCGTAGATTATCAATGAGCTCCTGAAACTGTGCTGCTTCCCCAGTGTCAACAGCGGAAGCTTTAGCGCCGTAAGCGCCCGCTCCTCGCACGTGGCCATTAGGAACAAGGACCGCGGCTATTCAACTCCTAGGCATCAACTCTCTGCTACATGCAATGCTGATTAAAATATGATGTTTTGATTGGGTGCTATGTGTGATATCGATGTATTAGAAAAAGTTGAAACTATACTACTAAAACGTTATTGTCACCCAACCACAAGGCTCCCGCTTAACGCCATGTACGGAATAAACGAAGGCAATGTCCAACCAGTCCAACGTATATAACGGCTCCACGCTAAAATAAACACAGGAATGAAAGAAAGACATGCTGAGGTAAAATTATTAGGGTAGTGGTACGAAGAAACGAGCCCGGCTCGTGGAGAAGAACGCTTGGGTGTCAAGAATGTCGACAATCACTCGATGCTCATATTCATGAGACCATCGTTCGTTTCAGTCATCCCTTGTAGACCCACTCGCTTCAGATGACCTGGATGCTTGGGTGTGGATGGATTCCGGGTGCCACTTTCAGTGTTTGGCTGATCAGGGAAAAGAGAACCGATGTTGGCTTTGGGTGGACCCCATATACTGGTGCCCGTATCCCTCACAGCAGGTGAATTAGGCATCACTGGACTGCTTTGGACGCTCATACTCGGAGACACCGCCCTTCGCTTGAATAGGTTCGGATCGAAATCGTCCTCACGGCGCCGTTTCCTTTTAAATTCCAATATCGAGATTGGCTGTGTTGCGATTGGAGTCGAACAGCGGGAGCTAGGCCTGTCGCTCGGTTTCGCGAACTCAGAATTCGATCCCATAGTAGTTGAGGGCGTGATATCCATGGAGAGATCATCCTCAGATACCGAAGTTCCCGTCTGGCGTCGAGGCGGCGGCGGCGGCGTACGATAGCGTTCATCGAAAGAATTCCAAAACTCGGCACCAGCAGAGTTTCGATGGGCTTCCTCGCTGAAGCTAGGTTCATCGGGAACAGAGGTTCCAGTTTTCGCAGGCATATCATCCAAATTACGGTTCAGATCAGTTGGCTGGAAGGGATTACTCGACGAGAGGGCATCTAAACTGGGTGATGTTTGCGGAATTTCTGGCTCGCTTTCCCGGACCTGCCGAATGACCTCGGCTTCCCGTTTCGCCTCGCAGTCGATAGGGGCTGATTCCTCCATCAATGCAGCTCGAATACGCGCGAAGGTCTTCGTTTTTGGCTAGAAGAGGCGTAAGCGGAGGTTCAGACCATCGTGAAATGGAAGAACTTACCAATAAACTGCTTCTGCGTGTTACAGCCCGTCGAATAACGCCCAAGGGCCCGCCCTCGGAGTTCGAAGTACCTGGGCTGTTACCCCGGTTCTCCCCTTCGTCACTTAAGTCAGAGAGACGAAGATCACGAGTACCCAAACTCAGACTTTCACGCCGTGCACTCAAGCTAGACCGTGAGCCAAAGTAACCATTCTGATTCTCAATGCTCTTCATCACCGGCGGAGACAGTGGGCCAGGACTGGGTTTCGAACTGTTTCCGCTAGCACTGCTAGAGCTATGTCTACTACGTCCTTTGCGGAACCTGGCCCGCTGAAAGCTCATAAGACTTGCTGCTGCCTGCGAATAACCACCCATCCAATCGTTACCCGGACTGGGCACATTTCCCACCGCAAAAGCATTACCCATCTTATTGGCCTGCGGTGTATTCATTATCATGTCATCCCTATCGCCAATCATCGGCTCGTCATCTTCCTCGCTGCTGCTTGTATCTGACTCCATCATGTTCACACTTGATACAGAGCTTGAGATTGCCGTTCTATCAGCGGGCCCAGATGTAGAAAACGGAGGTACTGAAGTCGACCCCATAGAGCCTCGGCGTTGGGGGATTGTCATTCCCCGTCCACCAATTATTGGTGAAGAATCAGGCGATGTTTCGGCAAGCGTAGAGTGATGAAGGTTGGTACAGGCGCGAGAAAAGTCGAGACCACGGGAGCGTCGAGGGAGGACAGAGCCCGGGGAGCCGTAGATCTGGGACGAATCAAGCTTCGGGGAGAGTGGAGCACGACTCGATAAGGACGAGGGTCCAGAAGGCTTCGAAGGCAAGTTTAGGGGTAAGCCATGCATAGAAGGCCGACGAGGTGTTTCTGGGGTAGATGAAAGAGAGTTATCATCTTTACTCGACGGCTGGTGTTCTTCGGGGGTGGAACGTGCAGATGTAGGTTTTGGCGCGTCGGACAACGACCGTGACTTGGGTGAAGGACGCAATGGGGGACCAAGTGAAGTAGATTTTCCTGAAGATTCCGTATCGGTTGTAGATTCACCTTGTTCCTTCCTTTGCGATAACTGTTCACTTAGTTTACTTGCGAATGGTAGGGACGGCACGCTGTGCGATACGGCCGATGAAGTAGTCGACGACGTCATTTTGAGATGGAGTACCCAGCTTCAACACGTGTCAATGCTTTGGAACAGTGAAATCAAAACATGATGAAGTCTTCCAGTGCGACAATCTGGTGGCGGTTAAGTACTTTGTAGGTCAATGTCACAATGACTATAAGGCGGCGCGAGATCTGCAAACGGCACGAAGAGGGTATTTCTTGTGCAGAATTTTGACGTATCACACGGAAATCAGAGCTGAACAGAGGCAAAATAAGAAGATAAACAAGGTATTGTTATACTCAGAGGATTCCAAGAATTAAAAGATGGGACGGACATCCAGGAATGTCCTTGGGTTCTGTTGCTGAAATCGAGGTACTGACGTCCTTTGCCGCTGGATTCGGCGAATCACGCTCCGTGCAGCCCCTCCTCCCAGTTTGGCGATTCTGATTGGTCCAGTAGCCATGGCACCACTTTCGATAAGCATCGTGAGATCTCATGGATGGATTCTTTTACATATTCTAATACTGGCAGACTCGTCCAGAGAAAACGGAAATTTTACATACATGAAACACAGAAGAATAGAAGTTGTCTGAAGAAAATGTCCCACAATTCCAAAGAAACTCGTCTCATCGTGACGGTTGTGCCCATGTCATGCCAAACTCATGGCAGTACTAATTGGCGCTACATACCATTCCCAATCGTTACAGCCCATCGTGTGATCTATCGAATCACCGGAAGGCCCTTTCAGCATGTCACTGTCCCTGGCCTGCCATACCTTGACGATGACTGCTCTCGTACGCGCAACATTCGAGACACTCGATTCCGCCATCGCAGCCATCGCACGTAGCACAAGAGGTCGGCCGTACACAACAATCTCGCCATCAGACCACACCTCATCGTGAAGGGGGTCTAATTCCACAGCAGCCACAAAGACAGGCCATGTCATACTGACTAGTGATCCAGAATCAAGTAAATCTGATACGAGTCGTAGAATCTTCCGAACGTAGGTAACAACCAACGGGGTAGACGGGGACGCCCCATACAAAGCACAATGCAAATACAAAACTGCAGCTAACCGCTTCAACTCTGCGGCGGTCTGGAGTGTTTGATCGTCAGCATCGTCGTCGACTTCCTGGACCAAATTCTCGAGCTTGTGTCCCAGAGAAGCTGCTCGTAAAGAGAAAGCCGCACGGGCAGAATCGGAAGCAAGTTGTCGTCTTGTCCGGCTCAATTCTGTGATAGAGGACAATATAGAGACAAGTTCCGGACTGCAGCCCATCCACAAATCGATGTTACGTTCATTCTCTTGCCAATAGTCACTTCCAAATAACACTTCCTCGCCGCAAGCAGTACGGCCCATGACATCTTGGAAAGCAAAGAATAATTCGGCAAAGGTTGTAATAGGATCTTGGGCACCATAGGACTTAGAAACCATTGTCTGTTGCCTTCTGAGGCGGATTAAGTCCTTGGCTCCCTTCAGATGGATCGTCCAGCGCTCATCACAATTATCCACGATTTCATACAGGCACAGCATCATCATGATAGCCAGCACTTCAGGATCTGTCGAGCAGCTCAAGGTTCCTTCCGTTGCAAGTCGATGGCGGAGGCCTCTCAACGCTTCGGACTTGAGGTGGAGCCCTATGACCCCGTAGGTCGGATCAAATCGAGACCAATGACATGCCCCAAGTGCCTGGATCGCTTTGAACAGGATTGGCGACGCAGATAGACAGAACGGAAGAATTATTGATGCGAATGGCGATGACAGCTTCGAACTGGCAGTTGTACGGGGACACACTTGCTGGAGATAATACTCGAAAAGGTGCCCCTGGTTTTGCCCAGCAACGTGGGGAAACAACGGTAAGGAGGCCGTAGGCTGCGGCAACTGTTGTAGGATTGGCCCATATTTTGAGATATCTACTAGCGCAGGCCAGCTTGACTTGACTGCGAGCCTTCCTTTCCCTTTGTCGCGAACCACCACCGCATTTAGTTCATCACAAGCAACGTTGACTTGGTCAGGTTGCTCAAAAGTCGAGACCCCGCTGTTAACAAACCCCCAAGACTCAATGAAGGGAATATCGCACCATTCTTGGTCGTCATCCAGAAGAGAAGCTAAGGGCGGCGATGTCTTGGACTGAGGGCCGGACTTACTCCAAACGCCAGCTCGACCAAAGGCAAGCCCTCGGCTCACAAACTCCGACTCCCATTTCAGGACCAGTTGAGTTGAGCAAACTAAGCCCCTTTCCCGACACCTGGTGCAGATCGGCTTTTGTGTGTCACAGCGGACTCGACTCGCGCGGCATTCCTTGCAGCCGCTACGGCTTCGGGTCTTGACCGGACCCACGCGGTCTGCAGCCTTTTTACGCGGCATCCGATAGGAGGAAACTTTACATGGCCAGTCTTCCAGATCAGATCAATTTCCTAGCGCCATCAATAGTAACTTGATGAGCAGGAGCAATCTCACAGTAAAGAGTATGAGGCTTTGACTCAGTTAGCCAGAGATACTCGTGGCAAACGAGATGCAAAATTGAGACAAACGAATGACTGCCTGTCAGAGGCTCTGATACGTGGGCCGATGCAGTGAGGAGATAAGGACGATCTTGACTGGATCTATTATAATTTATGACAGGAGAACAAGGCTTATCGAGGCAAATCAGAGAGAGTTTTTGTGGTGGAGCGGACTTGCAATTGATAAGGCCAAGAGTGGAATCATGTGGTATCCGCTCCGTCTTATGCAAGTCTTTCACCAATAGAAACTCCGTCTACCACCCCCACGGGGAAGCCAACGCTGATTGGTTTACGCCTTTCCCTGCCCATTGCAGCCTGAGGCTGCCATATACAGAACAAAAGCATGGCTATTCCAGAAAACCACCTAATTCATTTCCACCACTATTGAGGAATAATAGTAATGGCCATCACTTGCACAGTCGTCATGACCAAGTGCTCTCGCCGAACGTCTCGTTTAGCTTCAACTCTAGCCACGGAGTGCCTTTACTGTCAACCGTTCCGCTATTGACATTGTTTCCCCACCAGCTAAGGCTGACACCAGGAAGTACCAATGAAAAGAAAATCAAAATAGCAGAGACAGCGACACCGGAGTCCAGGGCTGCTGACAGGACATAATTGTACTTGGCCCACCAATTTGGTCGACGGCCTTTGATGATCTATTGATTGTTGATGGTGAGCAAGACGACATGGTGTTATGCTCGGTAGGCTTACCTTGTTGAAGATTAAACTGACTACAAAGGCTGTAGAGTAGTTGATGCCAGTCTATAGCTCATGTGTTAGTCAAGAATAAATTGACATCGTTTTGGGCATCACATACCGCTGGTGGTAAGTTTCCCGTCCCGGCAAAGAAAATTGGCCAATGGATCGCGTTCAGGATGCGGTTATTGGGATACTTCTTCCGAAGACAGAATGTAATTATAGGTAGTAGCGCACCAATCCAGAACATGTTAAGAAGCCCGGAATACCTCTGCCCAATATTGTAAAGTCGTGCGGGTCCAATGGCTTTGACAGGTATCAATCACTCATACGAGTTAGAAGGGAAGCATACTGTACTCACCTCCCCAGAATACAGCACTGTTATAGTTGACTCGACCTTGAGGGCAAGTAAAATTGTTCGGCTGGTCGCTTGCACATACGTCCGTGACATGCCCAAGCATCCACAGCAGAACACCATCTGGTGCAACCATCAGCAGTGTCCTTTTCAGTAGATGTACCCCCTTTCCCGCCCCATACTTACTTTGGGTCAGAGTGCCGAGGATACAGGCAATCAACTGTGCGACAAACAGTGTTCGCCGTGGTATTTTCATGTACAGGCCAAGCTAAAGATGTACAGAAAGCTATTAGAATAAGCCAAATACGAAAAAGCTTCAGGATAACAGTACCTTCATGTCAGCACCGTAATACATTGCTTGACTGAGACCAGTATATGCATAAAACTAGTCAGTCGGTCAGTGCCAGATTTATGTAAGTGGGGGACATGAACCGTACCTTAAATATCAGAAGAACGAGCGGCTTTCCCTTAAGCAAATAGCCGGACACAATTTCACCCAAAACAGTCAGAACATTGGCATTGAGGTTCGCCACGGCATACACAGTTCCGACCGGAATTACATAGAGTGTGGCCAGAGCTAAGGTAATAAATAGACCCCAGAAAGGAAGTCCGGTGTTCCAGACGTATTGGACCATGATGGCAACAGCCACAACGATGACCTTTCCAAATTAACCACACGCTTTTTAATGGTTGTATAGTCAGGACTCACTGTCAAGATCGCATACCACCACCATGCAACGTCAGGATAGCGTGAAAGCAAACGTGCATGTATATCCTTCTTGTTTTGACCCCTGAAGGTGTCGAGAATGTCTTTAGTATGATGGAGAACCACGTGAGTCAAGAGGCAACTCAGAACAGCAAACCCAACGCCATAGCTCAGCGCAAAGGTGATGGGTAAGAAAATGGGGCTGTATTCCCGATACTTAGCACTATCAATTGCACCTTCATCATTCAAAATCCGAGTCGAGTTGTAGAGATTTCCAGTGTTGTCGTAAGCATCAGAGCCGGTCAGAGGTAGGTAGGCAGTATACCAGGTATTGGTATAGTACAAGATCGGCGCAATGACCGCATAAATGCAAAACCAACCAGCAAAGACATTTGCCTGTGCCCAAAATGGGATTGTTAAGGGCGAAGTGTTGTAGGCAATTTGGCTCCAGTCAAATGTGGTGGGCATGTATCCGAGGCCCGTCGTCATTCCAAACAAATTGTTAACCACTTTGTTGTCTATGCATAGTATTAGTGAGATTGCTGTGTGACTCATTGGTAAGAAGCGTACTTGGAGCTGCCCAGCAGATAAAAGCAAAGGTACTCAACCCAGTGAATATATATCCAGGAAGCCAGTACCAGCAAAAGCTGCCAATGAAGATGTACAGGAAGAACCGATACCGGGAAATTCTCCAGCCATCGGCTATAGGATTTGCGCCACTGTGCAAAGTTTGGAACAAGGCTGCATTGGCCAAGGTAGAAGGCCAAATCTAGTGGTTGTTAGTAACGAGCACTCATCAGGCATGGTCAGGTTCAAACTACCATATGCGGTGGCTCTATTATATATCTATATGATAGTCCCGCAAGGCCAAGTCCGAACATCTGCATGGACAAAGCTAGCAGGATTTGGTAGCCTACGGGAGTTGGCATGCCCAGATACACTTTTTGTGCCTGTATGATAGCACTAGCCTAATCTGTTGTCAGGATTGCTATCTTAATATAACCGAACTGTTCTAAATGAACACTTACCCATGACTGGTTGAAACTAAGATTCGACATGATCGTAATTACTGCATGTTCCTTGACATTGAAATGGTGGTCAGGGTTGATTGGGATTTCCCGACCAAATACACGTATCGTCATGATAGGTAACGCCTTAGCGAAAAAGCATCCAACGGGGTAGCTGATAAGCTGTGCTACCAAGGAGGTAATCGTAACACTGGGATAGCGCATGGAGAAGAATTGATTCACGCCCGTGCCGACCTACATTCGCTGTCAGCACTGCAATGCCACCTTCCTACATATATAGTTAAGACATACCAGGGTAAATACGATCCCCAAAAACCACATTCGAAAGGTGTTGATCGGTAACGTCGGATCATCCGTATTTGGTACATTGGCACGGACTTCCAGGTAAGGAGAGTTATTCGAGTCAATGGTATACTCGACGTCTTGACTCTCTCCAATGGCAATTTCCAAGGCTTCCTCGGCCGTCACGGGCTTCTTGGGAGCGCCATGACCCTGCAATATTGGATCATGAGGGCATTCTTCAACATCTGCTGCATCCTGCAGTCGATGTGACCGTGGTCGACTCATGAGAGCGTGCAATACAGGGGGAAGTAGCCCAAAGTCTTGCTTGAACGGAACGTAGGGGCACAGAAACAACAAAGGCTACGATAGAGAGACTATAACGGTCACGACATCATCAATCCTGATAGTGGCCATTGGCCTCCCTTATATAGCGGCATGTAACTTAACCGGCAAGCCATATCTATCTAGACTTTGACCTTGCCGAGGAGACAAACGATCTGAGAGTATCGAAAAGATAAAAGGATTAGACTAGATCGAAGGTCCTCCCCAGATACTGACCCGTCGATCACGAGTGGTGCAAAGAACTAACGCGGGGAGAATCAACGGGCGCCAGTGTCGGATCCATTCCGATATACTAGGACACTGAAAGTAAGGTAAGGTCCAAGCGAAAGATGACACGGCACCAGCCGACAGCATTGCAGAAGTCTTACCCTGATCAAGACTAGCCAAGGCGGGCAACCATCCCTAAGGTTTAGCGTTATCTGACACCATTCCGGGTGCTAAGATATAGTGTACTTGCCATCTTACCTATCGACCAGTATCCAATTCCAAGTGGAGACATTGCTCGGTGTGGCTCCGATCCTGGCCGACGTCGGTCCAACATAAGGAAGGTACAGACTTATTGTAACAAAGTATACGAGAGAGCCATGGGTCACCTCATCTCTGAAACCGTTTATCGCGTGGGTGGACTGTGCACGCGGGGAAATTTCCTATCCAGTCCTATTGGATAATGACTACTCTGAATCGATGGCGGTCAATCAGCACCATGGCTTGCTCCAACAAGTTCAAATCGCGTGGACCTTCCACTCCGTCGGTCCGACAGATTGCAACATCTCGTATGATTCATCCGCCGGGCTCTTTTGCCGGTGGTATAAAGGATGAAAGCTGACATCTCAAACGAACTCTCTCGCACATCAAATTGGTTTTCTGGACCAGTTCGGGACCATCTTAATTACAGCAGTACTGCTGCCCCCGGCTCCCTGTTTTGTTTTTGTTCTAATTTTTGACTTGAACCTAATCAGTTACAACAAAACAAAAGAACACTATGACTGTCACCAAATCTTCCTCGATCCTGGTCATCGGAGCAGGCACTTGGGGTGCTTCAACTGCCCTCCACCTTGGTCGCAGAGGATACACCAATGTCACTGTCCTAGATCCTTACACAGTGCCCTCGGCAATTTCGGCTGGAAACGATGTGAACAAGATTATCTCCTCGGGGCAATACAGCAACAAAAAGGATGAGATTGAAGTCAACGAAATTTTAGCAGAGGAGGCATTCAAAGGGTGGACAACCGATCCTTTGTTCAAGCCATATTACCATGACACTGGCGTTGTAATGTCGGCTTGTAGCAGCGCCGGTCTGGATCGCCTCGGAATTCGAGTAAGGCCAGAAGAGGAACCTGATGTTTCCGAGGTCACGAAGCCGGAGCACTTCCGCCAACTGGCTCCCGCTGTGCTGAAAGGAAACTTCCCGGGGTGGAGAGGTTACCACATTCGCTCGAACGCTGGTTGGGCGC